TAAGCATAAAAAAATTCTTAAAATCACTAAAAAAAAAAAAAGAAAAAATGCTAAATAATTACAGTTAACTTTAACAAAAGTAATATTAATTTTTCAACTAAATGATTATTTCTTCTGCGACATAGGGTAACAACTGCACCACTCCTATTTTATTTTACTCTTTTATTTAATGTGACATCCGATCTTCCCATACGTTGTAATTATTATTATTATTATTATTAGTAATAATTTATTATTATTCTTTGCAGATCCCAGAGTGAACGACTGGTTTTTGATGAGCTCACCGTTTCCCACGCTAGCTATATGTCTCACATATGCATATTTCGTAAAAGTTTTAGGACCTAAACTAATGGAAAATAGAAAACCTTTCGATCTCAAGAATATTCTTATAGTATACAATTTCATTCAAGTTATCTTTAGCGCCTGGCTGTTTTATGAGGTAAGTTGATATTTATACCCAATTGTATATTATTAAAAAATTAAGTAATTAAGACATTATGTTTAATGGTTTAATGTTTTCGTCCTCCTATTTAATATAATTGCAACAATTAATTATTCTTTTCAGTGTTTAATGGCGGGATGGTTGTCTCACTACAGCTTCCGATGTCAGCCAGTAGACTATTCAAGAAACCCAATGGCTATGAGGGTAAATATTTTTTTATCACTTATCATCTGCATCTCAATAATAAATCGATTACATATTATTAGTTTTATTTGTTACATTTCAAATTACTTTATTTAACTAAAATTTCTCGTTGTTGTTCCAGATGGCTAGAGGCTGCTGGTGGTATTATATTTCTAAGTTCACGGAGTTTTTGGACACTGTAAGTTTTTACTTTTTTTTTTTGTACACTTACATATTATATATGTATTTTTTTAATTTTTTTATTTCATTGTTAATTTATCCCGGGGTCGCTAAACTCGTAATTAAAATGTGGGTCTGAACAAACAGGATCTTATAATATCTACAATAAACCGGATCAAACGCGAAAAAGAAAACCTAATTAACAATATTTGATATTACGGTGTTTTTAAAGCAATCCGATATTCCTGTAATCTTAATTACACCTTAAATGTTACTCTTTAACCAACAACGTTAATTGGTATTTTATTACTGGTATTTCTCCGTTTCCAATCGATATGAGAAAAAAAAATACTAATATGTGTAAAATTGGAAAACAAAAAAAAATACTATACTGATTTACTTAAGTACCTACATCTTTTTATATTGGACTAAATTTGGACGGATGACGAATTTTTGTATTTCCTTTATCTTATGTTGATAAACAAACCTTTGCAGGTAGAGAAACAGCAAAAACAGATTAAAAAATTGCTAGTTGTTAATCTTTAAAACTGATTTGCATATTTTTGCATAGTAAAAATAATAATTTTTAATTAAGTATCCCTCCCGCAACTGAATCTAAATTAAAAATTATTGTGATCATTTTAATGTTATTAATACTACATTCCTACCTCAATAATAACTTAATAACATTAAAATAAATTGCTTATGAATACAGAACAAATACACCGCAAATTTCAACATCAGCATAACAAGAAGTTCACGGCGGTCATTTTCTATCGAAAATGTCAGACACGGATCGCGATTTCGATTTCATTGAACCTCATCAGCACTTCACAAACTGTTTACAGAATACTGACCCACTCTATCTGCTGACTTAAGACAGCGATATACGAACAACTGCAAACAGCGTGCTAAACTCCGTCTGTAATATATAATAGTACTTTTGTGGAAAAAAGTCCTTATAGACTGTTGAACATTTTTTAATTCCACTGAAGGTAGCATTACACTACAGATGGCGTTACCACGCTGTTTGTAGTTATTCCCGTCGCCATAAGGTTGGACATATCTCCTTGGTACTCTCAGCCGATATTCCCGCATCCTTAACCACTGGCAAACAGTACTTTTATCTATCCCTTCTCTCCTTTTTCTTATTTCTGCCCCTTATCATTCATGCTTAGAAGCTACCCTACCATACTCTCTCTCGTTTTTCAAATTAACTTCTAAAACGTCCTCTGTTTTCATAATACGTCCTTATTTCTAACATTTTGACGTGACAACGTCTTATAATTCGATGGAGCCGGCTTCACGCACGAAAAAACATGACTCATGCGGCGTTACCTCGCTCTGAGGCGTTCCATTTAAGGCTTGAAGTGCAAGCGAGAGCGCGGAACGAGCGACAAAGAGGCACAATCGGCCTCCGCGTTCGGCAGCGTTCGACATCTGTCTCTCTCCTACTTGAGTGAACGATGCGTCCGCTTGGACAGCTGCCATACAATAATACATTTCCATTTACCTCCTTCTCTATATCCATACAACATATCTATCAAACAAATAAAATTAAAATTTTCTTTTGAAAAATGAAATCATTCCATCAGTATTTTCTTATGACGTTGTCACGTTCAACTATCGTCAGTAAACCGACTTTACAGACAACCGATTTTTTTTTTATTCACGGTATCTTCACCATTTTTCCTATAACATCACATTTCAAAAGCATTTCTAACATCTTCTTTTCCACCACGTACAGGGCCTTACGTCAAACATACATTTTTATTAATTTTTTCGAATTACTAAATTAACCATTCGCAAGCACAGGACCGGACTGCGCTATTCTTTGTCCTACCTATGTCTCTACCGCTTTTTCCACCATGACTTATATGACTTCCTGGATATTGAAAATCGACTCCAGTTAATACTCATACCACAAATTTACTCAGAATGTTTAATATTCCATTTCGACAACATCGCCTCGATAATCAAGATTTACTCATTGAAATCCTCCCCCTTAAAATAAAAACTTCTTTCATTCCAGATCTTCTTCGTGTTAAGGAAGAAGAACGACCACATCTCCACACTTCACGTGATTCACCACGGTGTCATGCCAATGTCAGTTTGGTTCGGTGTCAAATTCACTCCCGGAGGTCACTCCTCTTTCTTCGGCTTGCTCAACACATTCGTTCACATCATCATGTACACTTACTACCTTTTGGCCGCACTGGGACCGCAAATGCAAAGGTACCTGTGGTGGAAGAAATACCTGACCGCCATCCAGATGATCCAGTTCGTTCTAGTCATGCTTCACGCCTTCCAACTACTCTTCACCGATTGCAACTACCCCAAAGCGTTCGTCTGGTGGATTGGACTTCACGCTGTCATGTTCTACTTCCTCTTTTCCAACTTCTACAAGGAAACCTACCTCAAAAAGAGGAAACGAGAAGAAAAACTCCAGGTATGTACAGTCCCCATTATCAGACGTTTTTTATTGTTCCTTCGTTTGACAGTGAAGAGTTCTCACAATAATTCTGAAAATGCCCATGAGACGAGCAGTCCCAAATTGGAGTATAACGTTAATTGTTTGTTTTTCTTTTTAGGCAAATGGTACCGCTAAAAACGGTTACAAAAAACTTACAACTGGCGTATGTTTTGCTGGCCAGACTCCTCTGTACGAAACGTCGAATGATGTAACGGAAATGAAGAAAGGTTACACAACAACCGAAGGGGATTCCCAACTCAGGAACAGGGCGTTCATTGACAGTTCGAAAAAGGCATAGTGTCTCTGAAAGTTCTCCATCGTTATCGCCATCACACATACTATCTCACCCCAACGCAACAAGAAAACATGTTCATCATCACATTTGTTCGTGCATCAAAAAAAAAAGGCTCAAGAAATATAAGAACTATGTAGACCATCATCAGTTATTTATAAGTATGCTGTGTGCCTGGAGACTCTCTCGTATCGAATAAGTTGTACATATTATAAATATTTTTGACGCCTCTAGTCCGCCATTAGTACGACACCGAGTAAAGATGGATTCAATTATTTTTGTCCCTTTGTTGTTCTACGTTAAAAACAAAGGAAGGTACCTAAACAATGCTTCCAGAACAAAAGATGGAACAAACAGCAGGCAGCTTTTACACTTCGATTCAGCATCAGGAAGGCTGTGGGGGACATTAAATGGAACAAAAGAAGGTGAAGCACTTGAAGTGTAAAACCAGCCATATTGGTTTTATGGATCGGTTATTGTTTTATTGGTTAAACATGGCAGTCTTTTGTTTTGTTTTTTTTTTACAAAAAATTGTTGCAATGTAAATTAAAGTCTCTCATAGAGAGAGAGAGAAATTTTTAATTTTACATACTTAACAAAAATTGATCTATTTTAGTCGTATTTAATACTTATGTATTAATTAGGAATGTGCTCAACGAATGACCCGGGGGTTAATCCAAAAAAAGTATTATCCTATCAAGGGTAAGCATATTTTTTAGCAATAATGAATCCTTATCGGGAAGAATATCGAAATACATATTAATGTAAGTCCATAACGATATTTTTTAAATGTTGTGATTTGTATTTTATCTACCTAAAATGTTTGTTAAAATTTTAATTAATAAAAAATTGAAAGTGTCTAGGTAAACCGCCGGTTTGTAAAGTAAACTGACGCTGGTTGCTATCTTGAGATAGATAGATAGATAATTTTTTTTGTATGTTTTTGTATAAGTAGTTTTATTTAACATTTGTATTTATTTTTTAAATAAAACAACAGAAACAAATATACTGTACTTTAATTTCACGTGTCACGTAAATAAATATTTTCTCCATTATTCACCCTGTATTTATGTAAAGAAAACTATAATTTTCTTTATTTTAAATATTCCCGCGTATCAAGCGTCATCGTGACAGAACGCGACTCCTCCCCTTTTTTTTTCCTAACCTATAAGTTGGGCTGTGAATGTCAATGCCATCGTGAGATGAGAAAGCAATTTATTGAAGATTAATATTTATTGAAATAAGCTAATTGTGATTTAGGAATCGACATTGTGATTAAGAACATTAAATGTCGTTTCTTTTCTTACAGAGAAACTCAGTTGTGTTTTGATTAACTGTGTCATCTAAATCACTGCGAGTAGAAAGCTAACTAATATATATGTAACATACCTAGGTACATATATAAAATACATTTATTTATAAAATTCAGGTTGAAATATTAGTCTTCTCTTATAAAGAAATAATTTAAATAAAACCTTACAAATTTCCAATCGTTTTGAGTAAACCTCAATAATATAATTATACACCCTGTATATAATTAATTCCCCTGGTAAGTATTTAAAAAGATTACTTGTTTAATGTTTAAAAGTTAGCTATTCTAGTGAAATATTCGCGTTGTTAGTTCAGCTTTTGAATAATAGGTAGCGCTACCATGTTGTTTATATTAAATAATTTAATACACAAATAGAGAAGTGTGGTATTATATTTCTACATTTAACATTGTGTATATTATTATAAAGGTGTATAATTATTAAATAATATCCCCGGTCAAAGTTCACAATGTCCTGCTTCGANTCCTTAAATACCTTCCTATATACCTTCTTTGTTACAGATTAATCCACAAAACACTAGAGCTCTGGTTTAAATTATACGAAACGTTTGTAACAAGTTTGCAAAAAATGTATTTTTTTAATTTTGTAATTAATAAACTCATTTGGTGCTAAAGTCGTCAGCAGCCAGTCTGTACATAACATTATAAAAAATAGTATGTTGTTTTGTTACTTTCTAATTAACAATATTTCATCAACTATACTTAATTATTATTAATAAAAAAACAGCAAACTTTTGTATCTGGAAAGGTTTGGCATATAATATTAATTTTTATATACAGTGTATTTCCTAACAAATACGACCACATAAGATTCTAGACGTCAAAATATTATAAAATATGTTTGTGTTCACGTAAAAGATATCGAGGTATTGAATTTTAAAAATTGAATCGATATGTATTTTATTTATTACTAGTGACCCGCCTCAGCTTCGCACGGGTGTTTTGTTTAGATTATTTTCGAAAAGGGGAAATCTTCAAAAGATACCCCCTGAACATACTAAATATACTACAGAATGTCTTTATACACAACAATCACAGTTTTTTTATCATTATCATTATTTTATTCATTTAAATTACATGTTGTAAAGGGCCATATTGATCTATATTAAATGCACAATGTATTTAAACGTACTTAATTGGATAAGGATTATTGCTGTATTGCCTACAATCGCTTCGTAAATAAGTCATTATTTATCATAAAAAGTAAAGGATAAAAATGGTTATTGTGGGTTATCCCTAAGAGATAGACATATACCATCACGGACTATTTTGTAGACTCTTTTAAGATGTACAATATTGTATTATGTTATTTTGATCTCGTAGAGTTCAGTCAGCGTTTGCAATATAAGCGAAAAAAATAAGTTTATTTACGACATCACATTAGAAACCTCTAAAATTATCAGTGTTTCTCTACTATATTATGCATGTATTATACATAAAAACCTTCCTCTTGAATCACTATCTTAAAAAAAAAACGCATCAAAATCCGTTGCATAGTTTTAAAGTTCTAAGCATACATAGGGACAGACAGCGGGAAGCTACTTTATTTTATACTATGTAGTGATACGTTTTCAATTAAAAATTGATAAACGCATTCCACAAGCAAAACAAGAAAAATAGTCACTATTTATATCCAGTTCACAGCCTGTATGTGTACAATATGTATTCATCGTAAACAGTGTACCAATTGTGCTCTCTAAAAACCTTTCCAGAGATCGGGAAAATAATATTCATTCTTTCATTTGTTTGTTGAATTGTTGTATTATCGCAATGTCCTTGTGCCTGACTCTTACACCAAATTAGACCAACACCTTTATAAGATTTCTTATATCACGACCATCATTGTGTTTTGTTTATTATCCATTCTCCTAATGGTATTTTTTGTCGAACTTCGTTTACATGTTTATCTCTTTCAAGCGACATTAACTATTTTGGACGATTTATTGATGTTTCGCGAGTGAAATCTTTCGTGTCGATTTTTATCTCGCGATCTCGTGACTAAATTTGTAGGATTTCAAAGAATATCGATCACTGGTAAAATTTTTAAACGATTAAATGGTAAGTCCTACTTTCATTAATCAATTTAACAAAAACGTTCAACCAGGTGTAGTCCTTGCATTATAACTTAACTGTTTGCCGATGGTTTCATCACAAGAGACAATAAACTTGTGGTTACAGTTGTAAACACGAATTAACAAGACGTATTTATGTAAAAGACAACGTATAGGAATACGTAATATTCAAAATTCATTATTTTCTTTTAAGAAGTCCGATCCTGTATCCTGTATCTTACAAAACAACTAGAATAAAGTCGATTAGCCGCCCGGTACGATAGTTTGCAACCCTTATAATAGTTAACTAGCCTCAGTTCCTCCAGATACTTACCGCCAGATCATAAAGTTTACTTTACCTAATCAAAACTACATCTCGCGTCAAAGTAGCTGACGCTTATCTGTAAAGCAAAAGCAAAAAGACCCAACATGTAAATTACTCATTTGATTTTGAATTAACGTACAAATGTCTCCTTTTCATTTATTAGCGGTAGTCTACAGATTCATATATATGTATATTTGGGAGGTACAATCGGAGACAAGAGTACATAAAATTAGAAATTCGTGATTAATTAGGTTTTGCAGCATATCATGGTTTAAATAAATACTATCTATACTAAAAAAAAGTATACGGTTTGAGAGAAAATTTGGAATTTGACCAAAAACTTTGAATAAAATAAAAAATAACGAATAATATGGAAAATTTTTAACTGACTTTTGGCAGTGAATACGCCTTAATTTCAACTTCGAAACAAAAATCTAATAATAATGAGCGTAAAACTTTCTAATATGTTTAAATAATAATTAAAACTTTAAAATTGCATTTATTTCAGACAATTATAAATATTATCATTATATTATCAAGTAAAAACGAGATTT